GGCCGCCTCCTGCCGCCGCGGCGCCGCCGGGGAGCAGCCCGGAGCGCAGGGAGCGCGGCCTGCGGGGCCGGCTCGCCCCGGAGCGGAGCGGCCGCAGCTGCGGGCTTTAAACACAACAACCACAGCAAATTGTGTCTGCTTTGTGTGTGCGGCTGGAGTTTACACGCACACGCGTTTCCCAAGCCAGAAACGCTTCACAAACCGTAAACAACCGCTAATCATTTATCTACTAACTCACCTAGGCTCTCGTTGGACTTACCTTTGGATTTCCAAAGGAACACGAGGTTTGGTAATTTTGTGTAGAACGTTTTTTTTTTTTTTACTTTTAATATTGAGGTGTTTGGGCAGCACTTTCCAGTGAGATGTCGGGATGGGACAAGTGTGTCAAACTGCTAGACAAGTCCGCTTGGTTGCATTCATGTGCTGCGTCATCCAAGATTTTGTTAAAAGTAATTTATAGGGCACTGCAAATGTACGTAAAGCTTCCCAAACACACAAACTGCCGTGGTCGCAGGCAGGAGGTGCGTAACCGTCTGCCACACGTGCAATACAGGGCACAGTGGTGCAGACACAGGGTAAGGTCGGGGTAAGGCCTTCTCCCGCCTGTGTTTGCGCTTCCAGCCGTGAATTCAGCCGCGGCTGGGCCCCGTAGTTTGCACCGTCTCACAAACCAGACAGGGGGAATTCCAGTTTAAGAATGAGTCAAAATTCTGGAAAATTCAGCAGAAGGCAGGTAAGGACGACAGGCATCAGCGCTCACGGCCGTTTTGCCCCTGAGCAGTAACTCCCTTAACTCGTGCAGTGACTGTATTCTTTCCCTTTTGGATTTGCTTTACAGTTCCTAGAAACCCTCATAGTAACAGCAGAATTTCACAAAAATTGCTGTTGTAAAGGGTTCTCAAGTTGTTCAGCTTCCAGTTCTGTGTCAGCTCATTTACTTTTTTTGGCAGTTTTAATCCCAAGCCCATAAATGGGTGGAAGAATTAACACATTGGGCTTGGGGGCAGCCTGTCCCGTGTGTATTCAAGTTCTATGACTAGATTTAAAAGCATCTTTACTCTTCCTTTATGAAATGCAAATGATGTATATGTCTTCTGCTAAAGACGTGATAGGATTAAAACCTGAAGGAAGTAATTCATTTAGATACAGTATTTTTATAGATGGTCCAAAAAATCCTTTCATGATTTTTCATGTGCAGAAGCTCAGTGGAAAAGATGAATAGGTGCAGCCAAAGTAGCTACCCTGAGTGTTAATTCAGAATGTAATCAAAAAGCAAATGTTTGATTACAACTGGTGTGCCCCTTCTAACAACTTGCGCCTGTTTTAAGTGTACTTTTTCCTATTTTAAAGGCTATTTATTTGTAGTCTCGGTACTCTGTGAAAAGGATGATTATATTTAGAGAAAACAGACTGCTAAACAAAGAGAAGGAGTGAAAATCAATTATGTACAATACTGGGAAATAAACTGGTTGGACAAATTGAAAGAGTATGGAGGGATTTTGTTATTTTTAATCACACACACAATCACCTTGAGTGCTTTAACAGTTGCAGATTTAGAGCTTTGCAATTGTACAGAATTAATGATGGCTGTTTTCCAGTTTCACAGAGGAAAAGCTAACTTGCAGTGACACTCAACAGATAGACAAAATTCAGGTTTGGGTTTCTTTGCTGGAGAATGTGGCTGCAGTGACAGCCTGGAGTCTCTGAAGGCTGAAGTTACAATAAGCAGCTAAAATACTTGGAATGTGAAGCACCTGTCTGTGCTGTCTGAATGTGAAGCACCTGAATGTGTTTTTCCTCATCCTTTCCATCGTGGTGCCCTGCTSTGACTGAGAGGGAGCTGCTAAAGTTTAATTGCAGCACCCATTACTTGTAGGGACAACCCTAATTTTGACTGTTCACGTCTGAATATGAAGAGTTGCTAGACAGCTAATTCCAGCATACAGGTAGTCTCTGGTTTMTTGTAAATGAGAGGTAATTAGACGAGGCAGTATGAAGTTTTATACAGCAGCTGACACATTCTGACACTGCAGTTACACATTTTAAAGAGGTCACAGTTATTAACATCTTTGAAAAGCCAAGATTGGCTTTCTAATATATTTATTTAGCAAGGAAATGGTAAAAACTGCTATAATGAGGATGCTGCCTTAGATAACTGAGCGCTATGTTGAGCTCAGAGGCAGACAGCTCATATTCAAAGCTCTAAGAGTCTTTTTGCTTTTGTAAGAGAGAGACTGGCAAGAAGACCATAYTAGAGTTCTTGAAAAGCTGTTTTATCTTTATGTTCTAGCTAAGTGGCAACAATGTGATATTATTTACAATTATCTATTTTTATTTATTATTACAATTATTTATTATATGCAATAAAAGTCTTTCATTTGTTACGAGAGATATAGAAACACTAACTTTGAATCCTTTTTTTTTCCTCCAAATTGAACTGAAAAAAAAAAACAAATTATGACAAAAATAATAAATCCTGAAAAGTGCCACTTTGGCTCTGTAATGGCCAATCTCATTTTTGATTGATTAAATTTAGAACAGGTCTGCTACAGTCTGAATTCACTCGGGAATATATAAGCATAAAGCTTTATGAACGTGCTTGAGATGTTTGAGGAAAGATCATACATAGGTAGAAATTATTTTATAAAAAATGTGCTTTCAAAAAGAAAAAAGGAATTTCCTACTTTAAAGAGCATACAGAACTGGGACTTATTAAAGTAGATTGAAATCTTGAAGAGAGAGAAAAAATGTGTACTGTTTTCTCTGGTTTTATTTTTTTTCATTAAAATAACATACTGTTATTCAGTTAAAAGTTGAAATGCTTATTTTTCCCCACACAGGAAAATTATGAACGAATGAAAGCACTAGTAAGAGACCTCCAAGAGCAAGCAGAAAAAATCAAATTAGGTAAGTGTAATAGTCCAGTTTTTAGAATATTTCTTTTAAACTGCTCTCAAAATAGTGTTTTTTTTTCTTATAGCTATATATTCATGAACAGTTCATTCAGTTAAAACATAACTAGATAATAGTAGGCAAACAATTATTTGATAGTCTGAATCTATATCTGATAAATTTCATCAGTTGAAAATCTTAAAGAGTTTATGTTCAGGCTAATTCAGTTCAAAATTTATTTACTTTTCTTTAATAACTCAGCTTTAACAAAAAGAGACTTAAGTAACGTGTCYGTAACATTACCATTTATTTATTTTACCATTTAATTTAGAGTTTTAACACACTTGTTGTTTGCTATTTGAATATCACAGTAATCAATTGCAAACAAGTGCATAAAATTATTGGAAACAGACAAAAAATGAAAGCAAGGCTAATTTAATAAAACAGAACATTAATTTCATTGCCTATAAGACAGAAAGTAAACAAAGTGAATAAAGAGTGGAAATTGGATGTGTAGAATTGGTTATTTTTCAACCTATTAAGGTCTTGGTARTCAATGACAATTAAATTATGTTTATTTAATCTAATGGCAGTGTTTCTTTGATAGATGGGATTATGAACAGAGGGGCTCTTACTGATACCCCTGTGATTTCCCCTTGAGCTGCTGCCTTGCTTGGTGCCCTGCTGCCTGCTCCTGTAACACGTCGCCTTGGCCAGTGTGTTTCTGATGGAGTTGCCTGCTTGGTCACTCATGCAGAGGGCTTAGAGAGAAGCTGGCAAAAGCAGGTCTGGGCTAGTTTAGAAGAAAAGGCAGTCTGTGCTTTATTTTCTCGACTTGTAGGGCTTTCTGGATGAATTCCAGKTAACTGGGGAGTATAAAATGAAAATGATATAAAAATGCTTAACTGTGCTGCCAGAGGTCGAGCGTGCCGCTTTGATGCCCCCTCTTTGTGTGCATAGTGATACTGTTTATCTCTTCCTCCTATATGCTTTTTCCCATGTGATACTATTTCTTTTATAGCGTTAGAAAGGAGTGCAGTTCAGACTGCAGGCTCAGGGCATGTTAATACAGCCTGTGGAGAGTAGAATGGACCAAGACTGCTAAGTCTGTCATGCAAGTATGAGGGAAAAATACGGTCTTGTGTTGAATATTTTAAGGAATAAATGCATTTTTTTTTCTTGAGGAAGAGCCAACCCTTGTTGAATGAGCTCTTCCTGGAGATGTGTAATGCAGATTGCAGTCCGTATTTGTTACTGTGGTGGGCAGCACTTTTGTGAACCCTTACCTTATTTTACTCCATCATCCCCAGCATTCCCATCATCARTCATTCCCATCGTTCCCAGCAGGAAGATGGTCCCTGGCACAAAAAAATACAGTCTATAGCACAAGGCAAGAGATGCTTTACTGACGTCAAGAACAAGAACATCCAAGATGCTCTTAGTCTCCATGATTAATGGTAATCAAAGCACATTAAGAGTCACAGTTAGGCTCTTGTAGATGCTGTTGTAGAAAAGAACATTGGAGGTTTCGGATTAAACACCTCCCAAGTCTGTTTCACTGGTGGAGMGGCTGTTGTTCACAGTGTCCAGGACAGCTCATCTGCAGTGCAGTGCATTTCTCAGCCCTGAAAGGGACGTGTTTAATAGAATGGTTATAGGGCCTGGAGACGAGGGGTTTGATTAGTGTGTGACAAAGTGAGAGGACAAAAATCACAGGTCAGAAAATGAGGTTTGCAGGAGCACTCGGGGTGTAAATGAGCAGGGCAAGACTGTCTGTGGCAAGGTCAGAGAAAAGGATRTTGTACTAATCACGACGTGTGATGCTGAGAACTTGGGTGAGAGTGTTAGGTCTGTGGGTGGACATGAGCGGCTGTATCTTATGAGACTTGTGCGGAAAGTATTTGTAAGATTTAAACTGAGACTGGTTATACAGGCCTAAAGGACAGTCTGAATCAAAGAGAAAGCGTAATTTTCTGGCCTGCCTTAGCAGGTGTGAAATGGTAGTGATGGAGGGGGGGATCAAGGAAGGAGGTTAGAGGGAGAACTTGGAAGGACAGCTTAAAAGCTCTGCTTTAGCAATGCTGAGCTGACAAGGAATCCTAGAAGTCTCCTGGGCAATGATAGCAAAGCAGCACCTTCTGTATTTTGGACAGGGGAGACGACTGGAAAGTGAAGAGGTGGATCAGCCATCTGTGTACAGAGACATTCTTTAGATAAGCTGTTGTTATTAAGAAGCCAAGATGTGTCAACAAATCTTGAGTATGGAATAAAACAAAACTTCAGCAAGCAAAATATATGATATAGGATCACCTTGAGTAAAGGATTGAACTGAAGCAAAGATAAATACAACATTTATATTAAATGCTGTGTATCCTAAGTGTGATGGTTGCAGCTTCAGAGTAATTTAAGAAAGTGGTTCCTGACACTGCTGGATCTTTCAGGCTTGGAGTCAGCAACGTGTTTAGAAGCAATTTGGGGGAAAGTGTGTTTTGTACTTCTCATTATTATGCTTTCCTCTATGTCTGTTCTTGTTGCCAGTTACTCTTTTCATTGACAAAAAGTGGGGGATAGTTTTAGACAACTCGATTTATTAAAATCTTTATGTCAAGATTAGCTATAAAGAATGACAGGGGAAATAGAATAGGTTCTGAAAAAATAAGCGTTTGCGTCAATACCTTAACTCTGTTTGAAGTGTAAACCATTATTTATTAAATGTTATATTAAGGTCCATATTTCAATAACCGTGAACCCTTCAGTGTTTCCACCCCAAGTTTTAATATAGGTGGTGATTTATTTATCTTTGTTCGCAGTAAGTCTAATGAATGACTGTTGTCTCACAGGAGGTGGAGAAAAGGCCCGTAAGCTTCACACATTAAGAGGAAAGCTGTTACCCAGAGAGAGAATTGACAGGCTTATTGATCCAGGGTAGGTACTTTTTTAATAACACCTCAGATTCTCTTTGGTGTGTAAGCAATGTAGCAGTCTTGGTTTCTCTTTAGCTTCCATAAACATGTTTACATTAGAAATTTCACGTATGTGCTGTTTGAAATGCTCATCTCTCTCCCTCTCCCTCTCTCCCCTCTGGTAATATTKTGTTTTTAAAAATTGAATCTTGTAGGTGAGATTCAGTAACAGGAAAATACGAGGTTGACCTTTTTAAAAATCCTATCAAGATATTTCTCGTTTTTCAGGTCTCCATTCTTGGAGTTCTCCCAGTTTGCAGGTTACCAGTTGTATGGTAAGGAAGAGGTACCAGCAGGAGGCATTATCACCGGCATTGGGCGAGTGTCTGGGTGAGAGATACCACTGAGTACCTTATTAATGAAAAGGAAAAAAGATGTAACTCTGTTTACTTTTCAGTGTTAAGATACTAATCTTCAGTATTCCACTTTGGAGATTAAAAAAAAAAAAAAGAGAAGCTGCTGTCTGTCATTTAGTTTTATCTAAGATGAAGTAATTGTTTTTTTTTTTTTGTGTTAATTAATGTGTCCCATATTTAAGCAGAGCCTCTCTGTTAACATACATAGAGGTTYTCTTGTCTGATGAAGGAAGATTGGCATATCAGTAAAGTTATTTTCAAAGGATAGAGTGGTATGCAAGACTAAGAATTAGGTTTGCTTGATGAAAGTTGCACTAAGACTAATGTCAAAATTAAATGTGGTATTATACAGAATAATAATAAATAATAAGTTATTTTTGAAGAAATTAAGTGAGGAGAGTGTTTTCTTTCAGCATCCCAGAGACTTCAAGGGTCCTGGGATGTTTGTTTATTAGAAACATTTTTTTTTCTTTCATAAATGTGTTTTACTTTTAGAGTGGAGTGCTTGATTGTTGCTAATGATGCAACTGTCAAGGGAGGAACCTATTACCCCATCACTGTTAAGAAACATTTACGTGCTCAAGAAATTGGCATGCAGAATCACCTGCCATGTCTATATTTGGGTAAGTCCCATCGCAGGAAGAGCAAATGTCCTGCGAAGGGTGATGCAGGATCTCTAGATAAAAGACTGCTTCTTTAAATGGGTGCCCTTCAGACTGATGTATTTTCATGATCTTGGAGTGGACAGGCAGCCGAAAGGGGGCACAGCCTGAGGTAGGACACGTATAAATGAAGCTTCTTTGAAGACTGTAAGGTTGAAAGGTCTTCAGTAGCTCTGTACAATCAGAGGGTGAAAGTACACGTGCTGCACATATCTCAAAGACAGTTAATGGTAATTAGTCTCTTTATTTAGTCTCTTTATTTTGGAACTTGAGACAGGATTGCAGTGGAAAAAAATAAAACTATGCATTGAAAGCATTCTTATTTCAAATGTGTTTTGCTGTAATGTTAGTTTAGAAGTTTGTGTAGGGAAGTACTACTGCATCTCTAAATGCATCTGCATCTATTTTCCATTAAAACATCTGGGGCAGATATTAGTTGCCTGTGTGGGGTTATAAATGTTATTTTTTCAAGCAGAATATCTTAGTACACCTAGATTTTTGGCAAGACACTTAGTGATAGCAAATGCAGATTTTAAAAAGACGTGTAAATATTTTACTAAAAAACTTAAATCACTGTGCAATATAAAATGATATGTTAATGTATTTTCTTTCAATTTAGTTGATTCTGGAGGAGCCAATTTACCTTGGCAGGCAGAAGTATTTCCAGATCGAGATCATTTTGGTCGTGTTTTTTATAACCAAGCAGTCATGTCCTCGCAAGGAATTCCACAGGTAAATTGCTTTTATTTAAGGATGAAATACACTAACGAGGTTTTATGCCTGCTGCTTTTGTCTGGTTTCAAGCCTCATACCTGTGCTTTACATTTTTGACAGCAAGAAGTTGTGTTGACCTTCTTGGTCCAACCTAATGGTCTTGTCTGGGGTTTGTAGGCACTGTAAACACAATGAATGTTCACAAAACGTCATCATAATTTTGAAGAAGCTGCCTTCATTCTTGGCCTTAGTGTTACTGCCATGACCTTCCTGCTTCTGTCTTGAAGTGGGAGAAAAGAGGAATAGATAGCATGATACGTAAAACTGCATGATGAAGCACTAGGAAGTCTCTTGGAGCAGCTGATTATTCTGCATCAGTGCTGCAAAGGTGAAGACCCTTCTGATGATGGCTAGTAATGAGGTGACCTTTTTGCTAAAGGGGTCCATATATATATATTTATATATCCATTGCTGTATATACTGTTGTACTGTTTGATAAAACTACCTTGACAAGGAGTCATCCTATAATGTATTGATGATGCACAGAATTACRGTTAGTCACAAGTCCTGGATTTAGAAGTGCTTCTGTGTGTGAGCGTTTTCAGGAGTCTGGGGACAGTTTTCTGGGGCAGCTGCTGGGCTGGTGACCCAGGGAAGATGCTCTGCTGGGTGTGCTCATGAAGGGTGCTGGGCTGGTTGGGGCTTGTCACTCTTCTATTTTCTTCTCCTTTCGTAGCAGTTTCTAACAGTTACTTTTTTGACTAGTGCTGAGCAATGAGCAAATGTTTCACTGATTGATTTTTTTTTATTATTATTTTTTTTTCTCCTTGCTGGTCACTCACTGTTGTGGTGCTGGGTAGCCCCAGGCACTGGGAAGAGTCACTGGGAAGGACTATGTGGGTTGAAGCAAGCTCGTGGCCTCTTCAAAATTCCTTTGTTAGTTGTTCAGGTTTTACACCGTGTGTTGGGCTGAGCCATGTATGCATTTCCCTCATGCTGGTCTGGCTAATCTCAGCGAGACACTTGAACTCGTTTGATCAACTCAGAAAGAAACATTTGCACCAGCTGATCCACTCATCAGATACATCTGCTTATCTAACATGAAGGTCATGCTCTGGTGTCCTGTGTGTAGAGCTGAAGTCAGTTCTCTGCACAATAGATGTCATGAATGAGTTGCATCCTACCTGACTGCTGAGCCTCATGGGCACTGCATACTTTGTCCATCTCCTCTGAGCTTTCTTCCATGCTTGTGGGTCAGTCACAAATTGTCAGCTTGGAGCACGTTTGTATGTGTGGGATGAAAGAGAGTGAAAGAGGTTATGAGGATCTTCCACCTGACCAGAAACATTGCTATCAAATGCGAGGCTCAGAAACAGCTTTTGGAACCTTGGGGAATGGTTTAGCTAATGTGTTTCATCTGGTTAACCTTASAGAAATATTTCACCAGTGTGTTCTTTTGGCATATTCAATTGTTTAATTCTCATCATGGATATTTGTTGGCAAAYAGCTTTTACTTTATCTTTTTCTTCTTATCTATACCTGTAATTTAGAGAGGCAGCTTTGTAGGAACCGTTCTCATCTCGATTCTCTGCGTAGTTATGTTTGATTGAATTCTCTGGCCTGAGGGGAAAGAATGGAATGGAAAGCTGCYTTGCAGTGTGGAGAAGAAGCACTAGTCAAGGGGAGAGTCTTCCATCTGAGCCCTGCTTAGCAGACTTTGCTTTGCTGCAGTTGCTGAGGCAACTTGATTTGTGATAGCCCTTTGGCACTTGTTGGTCTTTAGACATTTTTATCTTTTCTGGAGACTCCTGAAATCCCCTGTCTCCAGACAAATCTAAAGCAGAAGACTCCCACCCTACCCAGCATAGCTTTAGCTCATCTGTACAGAGCTTCTGCAGTTCATTTCTTTTCTAGCATTTCTTTTCTTTTCTACTGGTGATTAGCCAGGTATTGTGATGCAAAGTAATCTGTATTTGGAACAAAAATATGCAGAGAGAAAGATACTTTTGGACTGTAAGCAGCTTATCTGCTTGGCTAACTCACAAGCTGCTCTTCCCCTGGAGTCACTGACAAGTCTATCTTACAGATTTGTGCTCATAAATAACATTGGTCCTAGCATGTTTGTGGAACAGCAAGCAAGTGTATTGTCAAAGAAGATAGTCCCATGGCTGTTGGGCTGAGTGAACCTCAGGAGCATTTTGAACAAACTTTGTTTTTTTCCTGAGGACTTCAGTCATTGTCTGGTGCGGTAGCGATGGTGTTTAAATGTGGTGTCAAAGATGAAAGTGTAAATCAAATGGCACGACTGCAATAATTGACTTTACACAGGATGCTGTCTAATGTTTTGTTGGTGTTTTTCTGAATATTTTGAAAAAACACACATTTATTTGTACCATTCTTCAAAAAGTTGAAATTCTTTTTGTATGATGGCCACCTGATGTCACGGTAGAGTAGTATTTTAATTTTATACAGCCAAAGAGTACRTTATATGTAGGAAGGATTTGCCTTTTAAAAAAAGTAATTCTCTTTGGGTATGACGTGGCAAAAGTTTAACTTTCTTAGTTTGATGCATTTATTTTTTTATAATGTTAATAATATGCTAGTAATACAACTATTTATATAAAAAGGGGGAAAAGCGTCCAKGAAAGTGCTTACTTCATTTAAAGARGTTTTGTAGATGTCTGTTTGTTTTGTTTGAGGAATGTTTCATTTCAGAAGGTGCAACTAATATTTGTAAATCTGCTGGTGGTTTTATCACCACACATTGTGGTGGGCAGAATGATCTTCCCTACCTGAGCAGATGTCTTATCAGGAAACAGAGTTACGCTCCCCCTGATTTCCATCCAGGTTCATTCTTCAGACCTGTGAATTTGGATGCTGTTAGTTTTACATCTGCTGGAGTTTTTTGCAGCTTGTTTCATCAGCTCACCAGCCCTTTTCAATTCTGACTTTAAAGTTTTCTTTTTTCTTTTTTTTTTTTTTTGTCAGTTGTCTATGCTTTAATTTCCTCATCTGCTTTTGCCTATGACTAATTTATTATACTCCTACTGCAGCTTGAAATTGCCCTGATGCCTGTATGACTGTGAATCAGAAAGCTGTCATTAGCTTCCCATTAAGCACTTTGCAAGCTCTCACACTCAGGTGTTGCATGGATGCCATGGGGAGCTGAGTGCTCTGTATAAAATACGGTGTCTGTGTATTCAGGGCTGTAGATTTTTATTGCCCTTTTAGTTATCTATGCAGTAATTCACTCAGAGTGAAGTTAAGAAGTTGCATGTTAGTATGAGTATTTGAGGTCATGCTTTTTGACCTCTGCATTTGGAGGTGTAATGTATATATTGGAAAAGGTAACATCTGAATTAACATTTAAATACGAACACATTTTTCTCAGTGTAAGTTGGTAATTAGAGGAGAAAAAGTAGCAACTCCAAAAACCTTGGGGGGRAAAAAAAAGACTTTTTTTCCCTACTTACCTCCTTTTTAGAGGCTTAYGTTGTGCTTTTACTGCCCAATGATATCTCTTAAATGCACAGAGATGTATTACAGATTAATCTGTAAGAAGTGTGTAATTTTGAGTATAATTTAAAATGCTGTAGTTGGTTGCTAAAAAAAACTGATGATAGCAGTTTAGCAAATGTCATCTATTCCTGCTTCAGATACAGGTTATGTCATTTAGACTTTATTCTGTGCCTCTATTTAGTATTACTGCATGCTGCCTTTGTTTAACAGCAAATTTTAGCAGTTACAACAGAAGACTACTTAAAATAAGCTCCAAATATACTTTTCACAAAATAGCATTATATTGTGGTTTACATTTTATTTTTAATGATTGTTTAAAAAAAAAGCAATAACTTAGACAGTTATTTTCTTATTATCTGTCTTTTCCATATGAATATTCCACCTCTGCTGCTCTATAAGCTGCTTTGAAAGGATCCTTATTTTCTRGGAAGGGTTCTCCTGAAGGAGAAGTTAAGAGAGGATTTTGCTTGCATGACCATATGCTGCTGCTGTATTCATCCTGTCCGGCAYTGAGTCACTTCTGCATAAGTGCCACCCAGCAATTGCTAGTTAAATTGGTCACTGGTTAGATGTCCATCTTGCAGTTAGACACAGAATGAGGCAGGTGTTACTCATGCTGTGCAGAGTTGTAGATCAAGCCTTAAAGGTCCTGCTAATGAGGTCGTTAATAACTGCCCCATTGAGAACTGAAGTTACATTGCCTCTCAGCTTGAGGAATTGCCTGCAAACACTCTTGATGTTGGTGCACTTGCACTGGTTAACAACATCTAACAACTTTTCTCTGCAGAAATAGCTTGAGAAGGTCTAAGCATAAATACCTAGAGCAGCCTCTTACAGTTTATTGTAATATAAATTTCCTGGCAGATGTAGACCCCGTAAGTATTTCATGCATGTAGCTCATGGTGCATCTTATATGAACTCCCCTTGTGCAGGCTGGTCTGAAAATCTTCAGTTAAAGGCTGTTGAAAAATAGAGCCGTTATTTATGCATTTATTTATTTATTTAAGGAAAAAGYACAAATAACRTTTGTTTTGCCTTGTAGTGCTCTTCCAGAATTGTATTAAAATCGCTACAGTGAATAAGAGTTGTTCAGTGTATTTGAATCTTTAAAAAGTTGGGCAACTTGTTGACCTGTGTTACTGTCTTCCCTACAGATCGCAGTGGTAATGGGATCCTGCACGGCAGGAGGAGCATATGTACCTGCAATGGCAGATGAAAGTATTATTGTTGGCAAGCAGGGAACAATATTCTTGGGAGGACCACCACTGGTAAGCTTGCAAAGATTGACACCTGTTTTGTGAGCTATTTTTGAATATTCTGTGGGTTATTTTGCCCTCTGAAATATACCTGAATGTTTACAGGCAAGGAAAATATGCTAAAGATGGAGTGTGTTGTATTTTCCTTTTATTCTTAGGAAAATGCTCATGAGGGAAATTAACCTTAAGAATTTCCATGAATCAAAGCCCACTTTCTAGTTAAAGGCATAATGGAGTTTGTGACTGTGCAAAATACTGCAGCAGAAGGTAGCTTATTATAGTGGTTTAGCTCTGTCAAAAAGGGGAGTGTTTCTGAGTGGTATTAGAGAATGAAGCTGTATTTCTTTGTGGTTAGCATAGGCTCAGTTTTATACCAAAATAATAATTTTACTGTCCAAGAAAAGGTTATTCAGAAATCTCTTAGAAATTGTACTTAACATGAAATTTGTCAGGAAAAAAAAAAGTTGCAGTAATAAATATTATGTCAGTGCATATATACAATATGCACTGACAATATATTATATGCAGTGCATATAAATATTATGTCAGTGCATATATACAATATATACAATAACAGGTAAGACAGCAGTCGATGGAACATTTCTAGTCTAAATGAAGCCTGACTGGATAAACTGTGAATCAATAATGATAAACTTTGAGATGATGCATCATTGAGCAAACTGGTCTGAGGCAGCACTTCGGTTCTCTTTTGGTAGAGTGTTTAAGGACAATTTGGCTGCTTCTTTTGCCAAAGCCAAGTGCAAATTGAATGTCTCTATTTGCAGTACTTTAATAGGCATAAATGGAGAAATTACTCCATAGCAACACTGTTGGTGAGGGTGTTACTCATCTGTAGGGCCAGAGGAGGGGGAGGCTGCTGCTGGGATCTGCTTCTTGCCGCTGYGTAAGGCACTGGGGAAATGCTGCAGGTCACTGCTCCCTGTGCTATAGGAAAGCAGCTGCGGAATTTTGGGCCAGTTTTTAAGACATGACTGTTAATTTCCTTGAAATCCTGAAGCCTCTATCCCGTGATGTTGTTCTGTGTTTACTTGCATGACATTGTTCTCATTTCCACAGTCAATTTTTGCCGTTGATTATTTGCCATCTCTTCAGTTTTTCTCTTCCCTGTTGTCTTGATGCTAAAAGTAGTTTTCTAATACACTTTTTTTTCCCCCCAAAGGTCTATGGATAGATAAATTTTAGTTCTTGTGCAGTTAAAAAAAACCCCTCATTTAAACTTTTTTTTCTTTTTTTTTTTTCTTTTGAGTGGCTGCTAATTGCAGTTCCAGAACTTCCTAGGTAAATTCGGAGTGTACTGGACATAAGGACATAAGGAAGACGTGGTGGTGGGCTCCRCACAAATACAAGCATGCTTCACCCTCTGCTTTAGTTGAATAATGCATTTAGCTTCAGGTATTCAAGTTGTTTCAGTGCAGGCCTTCCAAGCTGACAGAAAGACCAAAGGAATCAGCCAAAGCAGACCAATAGTAGCCACTTCTTGATGAAGCTTGGCCATTTGATGTTAAATGATTTACTGCTCATTTCCTGTTAGAAGTTCTCTGGCACTGACTGTTTTAAAGTCTTATCAAAGTCTGTGTTCCTCTTTGGATTATATTAGTCTTGTTTAGTTCATTGTTGGTAGGCAAGTACAAATCTTCCTTCAAAACTAAGTATTTTTGTGTAGATTTATCACTGTAATTTAGAAAAATATTAGAAATTTATTTGTGAAAAGTGATATATATATATATATATATGAGTGAAAATATTAGTTACAAATAGTCTCACTAGTTGCATCAATAACGTTCATATATTTTTCTGTTGAGGCAGGAAGATTAGTAGGATGAAAGAAACAGACTTTTACACATGACTACTAACGGTCGTCTTCTCCCGCTGTGAATACCTGCCGCGGGGGCAGGAACGTGGTCACAGCACAGAGCCTTTCTAGGGCCAGCCCAGCTCAGTAGCTTCCATCCAGGGTGTATGCCATGACAGGAACGACTCCAGGCCTTGTTCAAGTTCACTTTGTTGCAGAAGCTGAGCTAATAAATCTAAAAGACCAGGGTAAACTGTCCTGATGGGGAWGGTGAGAGTGCTGGAGCAGTGCACCTGAGAGAGTAAGTCCCAGTGGGACTGCTAATACCCAGTGCCACCTAGCAAGCTGGCTCTCTTTCTGAGAGGATGTAATCTGCTAACGCTGCAAGGGAATTGAAGTTGTGTGTCACTGGAGAGGTGGAAGTTGTGCAGGGCACTCTTGCCAGGATAGGCAGCTGAAAAAAGGTAGCCTGATTCAAGTCTCAAGGAGAAGACTTGGCTAGGCAAGTCAGTGACAGTAAGGCTGCTGCACTGTCAGAAATGAAGGAAGCTTTTCACCACTTTCAGAAGAAGATGCCTGAGTTTCAAAAGTATCCTCCAGTTTCATCTGTTCCTTAGCAACCTGCAGATGTAATCATTTTATCTTTGTGCGTATAGACCAAACTTCAATATCTCTGTAGCTGCCAGCATTCTGTTTGGCAGGCATTCTCATATGCTCACTGAAAATATTTTGCTTGCTTTTCTGTAAACATCAAAATTAGTTTGAACTCCCCTGGAAATGTCCATTCCGTGTTGTAGCAGGTGTTGTAGCCATCATTGTGCACTCTATTCCCAAAATATCCTTGCCAATGAAGATTGGTCTGGGTCTTGCTGTTCGCTAAAACAAAACATCCTAAGGAAGTGAACAGAACAACTGGTGTTAGAACAAATCAGTCTTGAGATGTGTGTCTGCTAGGAAAGTGTAATGCGCTTGCATCCCAAAGTCTAAAGTGCAAGTTTCCTCACGGCTCCTTTTGGAAAGACTTAGGAGCAGATAGATTTCAGCATTAGAAATAGTAGCAAGAGGATTGTTGCTGCTCAGTAGTAACTTTGCAAGGACGTTCCTCTGACATCCTCACTCTTGACAATGCTGCTAGGGAGCTCAGGATACTCTGTTGACTCTCCGTTCTCTCTTGTATCATTCTCTCCTGTATCGTCACYCTACAAGCTTAGGATGTAGGGACAGGGTAGGTAGTGAGGTAGACTAAAAGCTGGCCGAGCTGTTGTTCTCAAAGGGGTGGGATCAGCAGCATGCAGGGGAGCTGGGGGCCCGTCACAGGTGGTATCTCCCAGGGGTTGGTGCTGGACCGTTGCTGTTCAGCATCTTCATTAATGGCCTGGAGATGGGACGGAGTGCCCCCTCAGCCAGGTTGTGGACATTACAGAYTTTGCAGGAGTGGCTGCTCCACCTGGTAGCTGTGCTGCCCTTCAGAGGGACCTCAGCAGCCCGGGGCAGTGGGCACACAGGCGTCTCAGGAAGCTCAGCCAAGGGAAGTGCAGATCCCTGCTTGTGGGGAGGAATAATCCCAGGCACCGGTACAGGCCAGGGTTGCTCTGGTTGGGAAGCAGCTTTGCAGAAAAGACATTGAAAGACAACTTGGGCATGAGCCAGCGGTGCGCCCTTRCGGTACCGGCCAGCTGGCTCCTGGGATTCCTTGGGAACAGGGATAAGAGCAGCTTGAGGGAGGTGACCTTTGGGGGCAGCTGTTAGGGTGAGTCCAGCGAAGGGCCACAAAGATGATTGAGAGCCTGGAGCATCTGGGACATGAAGAAAGGCTGAGGCAATTGGAACTGGTTCTCCTGGAAGAGAGGAAGCCCAAAAGGGATCAGTATCTGTAAGTGTCTGGTGGGAGTAACGATGACAGAGCTGAACCCTTCCCAAGGGTGCCTCGTGACAGGACAAGAAGCAGTGGCTCAAAAAAACTCTTTTAAAATGTTTTCCACGCAATAAATGATACTGTTTTATTTTAAGAAGAAATTCAATCACTTAAATTATCTTCTCAGATCTAAGATTTGACAGATTATGAGTATTATGTCATTAACGCACTCTGTTTAGAAAATGCTTCTTGTTAAATTACTGTGGGTGTAATCAAAGACTTGGGAAATTCAGACCGATACAGATTATTTTATGGTTGAAATAAGAAAGTTACAATTAGTGAAAGAAGAATCTGTGTAGAGGAGGCAGAGCAGACTTAGAAGAATGCTAAGTTTATATTGAGKTTTTTTTGTTTGAAACAAGGCAGAGGAGTATCGTGCATGAATTGCCTTTTTTTAAAGAAAAAGGAACATACGTTTTTATGACAGTAATYAGTTTACAGATTAAACCCATTTTTTTTGTTAAAATGCATGTTTATAAATACTGAGGTTGTGTAGGTRTACAGACACACATTACACAACCATGCAATCATAGCAGTAAATAGAAAATATTCTTGAAGAAAAAAACTACATATAAATAGTAGATAATAAAGATATGAAGACAGTTATCTAAACATGTTTTGAAAGAAAGATTCTGTGATTCTACATATTAGATRCTATGAGGGAGAGTAACTGGGGAAGTGTGRCTAAAGAAGAAACATTTTGCAAAGAACTTTCCTATTGCTAAGCCTGTATAAGTATTAATGCAAGACAAGAGCCAATTCTAACCCTTGTCTCTCTGTCTGTGTTGTAGGTAAAAGCAGCAACAGGTGAAGAGGTATCAGCAGAGGACCTTGGAGGAGCTGATCTTCACTGCAGGTTCATAGTTCTTTTCCTCCAGGCCAAAAGTTTTCCAGTACTTAGATTTTATTTGGACTTAAAGATTTTTTGTATCAAAATTCGGCACTGGTGAATCATTTTGTTGTTACGATGCTGTTAGTTTCCTACCTGAATTAGGATCTTACTTTTCTTTCATTTCTTTAAGCTACTTAAGTGCCTGCCTATTGTCATGCAGTAGCATGGGCTGTACAGAGGACATTTCTGTACTGTTTAACACTGATGGTTATTAGAATAATATATTTTCAGAAACATAATAGATTTTTGCAGGTTGTATTTTTCTTACTGTCAGTTGGAACTTAACTACAGGTGAAATCAGAGAGTCTATTATTTTTCTAAGAGAGTATTTCTTATCAAATAAAGACCTCTACATGCTTTTTAGTTTAACAAGTGGTATTAAACAAAGTYACATGTTACTGTAGAAAAAATGTATCATTTCTTCTTTAATTTGCTGAAGTGACTAAAGAATTATTTTTCAGGGCAGTCCATCATAGTGTGGTAAACATATTTTTCTTTATAATTTTAGAATTAACTTCTGTTTGAACAATGCTTGGCAGTTTTTATGTTGTCATTTTGATTTTTCATTTGCTAGAGTTCCTGTTTTGTTTTATTTCTGCTAATCTGAGTGAATTGTTTAAAAGAAAAATTCAGATGTGTGTTTGTTTTTAGACTAATTTTATAACAACATAGCTGTTTTATAGCATCTTTTTTAAATAAAGTCTTGTCTTTTAAAAACTCTTAATTTTCACTTTTGTCTATTGTTTTTAAATCTTTATATTAATCTTTATTTTTTGTGTACAGAAAGTCTGGTGTAACAGATCATTATGCTTTGGATGACAGTCATGCGCTTCATCTAGCTAGAAAAGCTGTAAGAAATTTAAATCGACAAAAGAAAGTGGATGTAAGTGTCTGGAACRTTTTTCTGAACGTACTCCTTTTAAATTAAGAATGCTCTCTGTTTTTTCTGGTTTATGCAATTCTTTTTTGGTCTCTGATTTTAAACACCTTAGAAATGAATCCAAAGGTTCAACTTTCATATTGCTGGTGTGGTTATGACTAATAAATGCACTGAGACTAGGGGAGAGAGTAAAGCAAGCAGTATGATCACAGCCATACCTCAGAAGCACACTTTAGAATGAACCAAGTCTTGCAAGGTCTTGTCTTTACTTCTAAGTCCAAGTGGTCATTCCCACTGACTTGATTTTGGTAGCTCAGGTGTCTAAAGTATGCTGATGATTTAAAATTTTCTATTAGAAAACAAGATGAATAATAAGTGTACAGTGGAAGAATTGCCTTGGCTTATTCTGAGGGGAGATGAGAAAGGATGAATTGAGGAATAAAGCTCAACAGCTGAAGGAAAGCAAGATATTGCATTTAGTGGCATGGCAAAAATCTTGACTGACTTTTCAAATCACTGTAATAGGGATAGAATGAAAATGAGCAAACGAAGTACATGCTAAATTTTTGTTAACAGGATAAAAGTTGTCAAAGTGCAGGTAGAAATAAATGCAGARGTGGAATGCAGCTGAGGATATTATGTTAGAGGGCGTTACTGTCCTTTGATTCAAACTTGATCTTTATGCAGAATGAGAGCAGCAAACCAGAAGTGTTGTGTTGCTGAAGGGTGGTAGTTACCRAATTAATTTGCATCTTTACCTTATTTAATCATTATGTAGACTAATAATTCCCTTGTTGCATAAATTGTTGTGTTAAATTGCAATTTTTGTACACAGGTGACTGTAGAACCATCAGAAGAGCCTTTATTTCCTGCTGATGAAATATATGGAATAGTTGGTGACAATCTAAAAAGAAACTTTGATGTCAGAGAGGTACGAGTGCAAACATAAGATACACAGGCACATATACAGAAACGCTCCATTTTCTTGCCAGAGAAACTGAGATCACTGTCTATGTCATCACTGGCAGGAATCCCATTCTGGGCCCATTATGAATATTTAGATGTAAAATCTTTTAAAATATTCTGGATGGTATTATCTAATAGATGCTTTACAATTTGATGTTTAAAATATCATGCTTTTTGGTTACACTTTTAAGAAGAATAAGAAATAAAAGGTTTTGATAATAGTCAAAGAAACCTGCCAGGAACCAATGAGCTTTTACATTGGTCAGGCCTTCTCAGTTATTTGAATGCTAAATGATACCACAGCTTTCTTTTTCTGCTAATTTTATCAATTAAAAATATTTAAAGATTTATGGAGATAGGAATATACTAAACATTTCAGTGCTCTCCCAAACCCCATGAGGAGACTGTTGTGTTCTGCTGCAGATTTTGTAGTAATTATGTGCCTCAGTACCATCAGAGACCATATCCTCCCCAGTCCCCTGCACAGATCACGGCCTTTATTTCACTTCCAGCTACATTGTTACTCTAGAAAGTGTCTGGTTTATGGCATCCCTGAGATATCTTATTAGAAGATAGTGGGATTCACCAGGAAATTTTTCATTGCTTGGATTTATGTTCTTTGAAATATCATCAGTATATTTATTGAAAATGTTTCTCTGTGTCTCAGAAAAACCTTAGGACAGATCTTCTTTTTTTTTTTTTTTTTTTTCTTTTTTTTGGTATGTCAAAACCTTAAGCAAAGCTGAAAATATATTTATCTCAAAGAAGGTGACTCATGCCTCAATATATGTTGTCTGTATAAATTTGGGTCTATTGATTAATGGTTGATATACCCAGAGGTACTGTTTTTGTTGAGATTGAACTAATCGGAAGAACTTTCATAGTGTACAACTATGTACACTACTAACTTTGTAGCTATTGCTTCACAATATTCTATGTCTTAAAATCCCTTTCTTTTTTTCATTAGCAGGTAGATTAATCACACCTTTTAAAGTGCATGGGCTTTGACACAGCCATCCAGGTTATTCCTGTAGGGGACTGATTCCCCTAAATGGGCAGTGTTTATGTTAAGTTGGATATTAGCATTATTATATTAGCATAATTAGAAACTATAAAGAAGTAGGGTCTCATTTGATTTTTTTCTGCTTTTGTTTGTGTGTGTTTTTTTTTCCTGAAGGTCATTGCTAGAATTGTGGATGGAAGTAAATTTGATGAATTCAAAGCCTTATATGGGGATACTTTAGTCACAGGTATTTAAAAATATTAAAATAATTCTGCATATAATCAAGCCCCAACTGCTTGATTTTGTTTTGTTCACCCCTCGGCATTCTTAATAATGAAGTTTTTCTTCGAAAGAAGATCAATTTTTTTTTTCAAGGGGAAGTGTTATCTGTATATTATAGTAAAATAAATATACCTGAAAAATTACACACTCTTTTACCTTTCTACAGGATTTGCAAGAATATTTGGTTATCCAGTGGGAATTATTGGAAACAATGGTGTTCTCTTCTCGGAGTCAGCAAAGAAGGTACTTAAATAGATTATTAGCTGCTTTGCAGTCCAGAAATGAATGCTTTTGTGGAGCATTTGCTCTTGAAGTAGCATTTAAAATGAGGAACTGCTTTAAAACATGAATGTGGACCTGTTGTGAAGTCCTCAAGTGGATAAGCAATAGCTTGATAAAGAAACAGTTGATGGGTTTAAAAACAGTTCTGTAAATGTTTCTGTTATGTGTAGGTCCACAGGAAAACATAGTTGCAAAAAGAATAGTTGAATGGCAACACAGTTGAAATACTCCATCCTGAAAATTGGAGCTATTAAAACAAAGTCCATGCTGATTGCTTATAAACAAAATAGTTTGGATTTTTAACTTCTACGGTACTTCACATCATTGTTTTTCCAGTAACTTCCAGCTTGAGTTATAATAATCAGTTCACAGATTTAATTTTCACTTTGCCTCAGCAGTTCCTGGATTAGACTATTGAATAAAATAGGCACATATTTTCTTCTCATTCTCCTAAAATCTGTGAACTGAAATAGCTGTTTTGTAGATTTTTGTAGAACCAAGGCCCCCTTGGTTGTAATTGTAAAAAGTTGTGTTCTGCAGTTTAAGCTCAGGGCTTGAGGAGTGCCTTAGTTTTCTGTGCACAGCACAGGGGTTACTTGCCTTGTTCTGTATTGTTTAGATACAAATGTTTACATTTTTTTCAAGATTGATGGCCAATTGATTTATTTTGTTCTTTAATAGTAATGATATATGTTGGTTTCCTTTTGRCCAGATCCTGAAACAAATGGAGAGGAAAGGAAAGTTGAAAAATTATATTTAAAAAAGAGGCTATTTGGAGAGGTTTGGAGAAAGGAAGCAATTTTTAATGGATTTATAGTTTATTAAAATAATTCACACAGTTGAGTTTCGTATACTGATAAGTATTTTGAACTTTGAGCACAAGGAACACTGTTTATTGAAGATAACCCACTATCCCATTGYGCTTGTTATATTTCCAGGGTTTCTCTGATGGTTAGTGTTTATTTTACTTTTTTTTTTTTCCTTCTCATCACTGGAAAAAAGGAAGGAATCTCAATTTCTTTGCTCTCCTTTTTTGCCCTTTTTTGCTGTATTGGTACTGTAAGAGGAGATAGACAAGTACCACTTGTTAAATAAGTGAAGAGACACCTTGACCTAGAACTTCATTTCTTCAAGAGTAGTTATCTAACAATTTCTCTATTTTTTAAAACGTTTCACTTGCTCTTTTTGCATTTTTTTTTTGTAATGGCAGAAATACTGTACTTTTCTCATGATAATCACTATCCTTTTGAAGCTTTTTTTTTTTTTTTTAAATTGGCTCAGGCTGCATTATCTTTTCTCTTTATTGTTTGCTTTTCCTAAGTTTTGGTACTGTGAAGAAATGAGAGCTTTTGCAGTTGCTGTGCTGCATACTGTATCTTTTATTTATTTATTTATTTATTTATTTATTTATTTATTTATTTATTTATTTATTTATTACCAGTAAGGTATAAATAGATGAGAGACTGAGTGAAAATATTTTATATTTATCAAATGGCAAAGTAAGTTGCATAAGTTTTACTTATATAAATGGCAGAATTTCAAGTAGCAGCTTCAGGTCTATTTTGCTAGGTTTATTTCTAGGTTATTGCTAGAGAATAGATTCAGCATTACAAGAGTACATCTTTCAGTTGAAGATATTTAACTTGTTCTTTGCATTTTCATGTTACCTTTTTAGTGTAGGAAACGTATATTGTTTTTCCTGTGTAATGAGGTGCAATAGAATACAGTAAAGAGAATAGAGATTCTAAATATCCTTGATAATGACTGTATAGCCTCATCTCACTTCTTTGCTGGTTTAGTAGATGGTCTGTATTTTTGCACAACTTCACTGTTTTTACCCACGTGCAACTGGCTAATAAATTCTTTATCTGGCCAGTTTTTGTTCAGTTCTGTAGGTTCATGGGATGCCTTGTTTGCATCCTAAACCTTCAACTCTTCAGTAGAAAGGTTCGAGTCTTGGAATCTTGAAAACATTTTTAACATTAAAAATGTGGAGGAACTAGGTGGGATGAGGCAGCAATGGGCAGCTACGCAGGGGCTGAGTCACTGCGGGGAGTTTTGCAGAGCATGACTTGGACCCAGTTTATTTAAGTGCAGAAGAAAAGCCAACAAAAGCAGGAATGGTGCAAAACTTTCCCAGTTTCTGGAGCAGATTCTCAGGACAACTTTGCTTCAAGGTTTTGTCTCAGTCCTCGGTTTGGTCTGTTTTCCTGCAGTGCCAAACACCAGCATCCATAGGCTGCTGTTGGTGGCTTTCCCAGCACACAAGCATCATGTGCCCTTGCTTTTAATTAACCCCAAAGTCTGTAGAAACAGTTACCAAGTTGCAGCTTGAAACTTTACTGGTTTAGATTATTTCTAGCTGAAACAGAGGCTTGGAATCTGTTGTCCTTTGCCAGAAAAAAAATGTCTATTCCTGGAAAAGATGGAAGAGGGCTAAGAGGGACAGTATTACCTGTCTGTTCTGAGGCTATATGGTTTCCCTGGCCTTGCCTTATAAAACACCATGTCAAACGCTGCACTGTGAAACTGTGTGTGGTTTAAATGCATATTGGCTAAGTAAAAGCAGTCAAGCTTTCTGCTATCAGCAATAATACTTCCCAAGGATATTAATTCTGATTTACCTTTGAACTTGCACACTTKGGGCATCTCCTAGCTTCCTTTAGAGGGAATGAATGTTTTGTAGACTGACTGGCTGGAGCAGYAGTCCATTTTTTTACGATACAGATACTCCCATGGACTTCAGGGGAAGCAGACTACCACTACAGCTGGTGTTAGTAATAGCTTCACTACTACAACAGTCAGTAACTTATTCTTTTTTTTCCCAGGGTGCACATTTTATCCAGTTGTGTTGTCACAGAAATATTCCCCTTGTGTTTTTGCAGAATATTACAGGTGAGTAAACTCAGTGTTGCAAAGGTTTGCTTTGTTGTGGGCCATGCTCTTTGCAGTTGAAGCTCTAACACTGAGGCAACATCTTTGTGCTTCATCTGTCTGCATCTCTGACCTGCCTGGCAACAGCCTGTCTGCAGTTACCTATGGTTTGTTCTGCTTTCTGGGTTTTCTTTTAGATGTGCTCTACTAGTAGCATTARTTACTGAGTCTTGTCTTTCTTTGTCTTTTAATGCACTAGGTTTCATGGTTGGTAGGGAATATGAAGCTGGAGGGATAGCAAAAGATGGTGCCAAGTTGGTGGCTGCAGTAGCGTGTGCCAGTGTACCCAAAATAACAGTAATTATTGGTGGATCCTATGGTGCTGGAAACTTTGGGATGTGTGGAAGAGCATACAGGTAAGTTTTGCTTAGAGTTATGATAGGAAATTGTCAGTTTGTGACTGATGATTCCTGTGACTGATGATTCCTGACTGATAGGAAATCAATCAGTTGTGACTGTCACACAACTTTAAAATCCCATTATTTTAACTTTTTCATTTTTTCTATTTGAGAAACCAGCAATTCTCAGTGAATACTGTCCTAAGTAAATAAGAGCAATAGAATCCTGTGGAGATTGCTGGGCTCGTAATGAGCCAGGTGACAGAGGAGTTCTCCTGACATGTAAATGTCCAGCTTTTCTCCCATTGTAGGGGAAATATTTTACAGTCCTAAGCAAACAATGGGCAGCAAGGGTAGTCCTGGGCCCTGACTCATGTGAAGATGACCTGCATATATGAAAAACAAAACCCTCATTCCTTTTAATAAGTTTAATTTTATGAGTAATGTTTGCAAAACCTCTAGGGATTTCTTTTTTTGACCCTTTGGCTATSACTCACATCAGTGTTTTTGATCTTTTCAAGACCACTGATGCTGTTAAAGTTGTTGTTGCTGATATYTGTTTTAAGAAAAGGATTCTTGGGGATGTGTAAGATGAAGTGGAGTAAGAAAGAGGGAAATAAATTTTTAAGATGCTTGATTATAGAGGTAGGAAACRGGCTTTTTCAGAATGTTGCAAACATTAGAGTACACGAATTTGCATTCATTAAAAGTCAGTAAAACTCAAAATTCTCGTTAATGAAAGTGCATTTTTAGCTGAGTGAGTGTAAATTCTTTACCAGGAAATTAACTGAGGTTTTATTTTCATGTTTAATCAGTCCAAGATTTCTTTACATGTGGCCAAACGCTCGCATATCTGTGATGGGAGGGGAACAAGCCGCAGCTGTTCTAGCTACGATAGCTAAGGACCAGAAAGCAAGAGAAGGAAAACAGGTACATCTTTCTGCCTTTATTTGCAGGGCTGTCATTATCACTTGCTCTTTCAGTGGAGGTGTTCACAGGAGCCACGAAAAAATGTTGCAGAGTGAGACACCATGGGCTGAGGTTCTCTTAACGTTGCCTTATTGCCCTGAAAAATGTGACGCATTCATCAAATGTTCTTGTTTACACCTAAATGTGAAGATTGTTCGTGACGTACTTTGTCCTCACTTACAGAAATATTTTCCTGTGCCCATCTTGTTGTATTTTGTGCACCAGCTTCATAGTCCTGCTCAAGATGAGCAGCCAGGGATCCTCGCTGTGTGGGAGTATAAGGAGGAATATGCGGGAACAGTGTCTTTCCAATTACCTTGGAAGCAGGCAGCTTTAGGGAAAGCTGAACCTCACATTATTCAGTGCATGAGAATTATGAAGCTCACAATAGCAGAAACCTGTAGAGTCTGGGGAGATATTTTTACTCGCTTCTCCATTTTAATTTAATTAGTGGTATTTTGTTTAGTTTCCAGTTTCTCTGTATGCTGCTTTCTGCTGTGTTTTTAAAATTTTATGATTTATATTTGTGTTGCTGCCTTRGGCATGTAATTTTAATGTGATGTATTAAAATTGATTAATTTATCATGAGTAGTGATCAGAGTAATGAAGCAGTATGTACATGTCATTGCTATGGTTCTTTATTCCACTCTGCTTGGCCTTTCTGTGGATAGAACCATACTCATCTCTGTGTCATTTTCTCAGATCTCAGTGTTTGACAGGGTGATGCCCAGCAACTAGTTTGAGGAAGAGTAATTGTAGCTAGTGTCMATGACATGGGTTAGAGGCTTGGAAGCTGTCTGAATTACGCTCTATATTGTGGAACAACCCAACAGGAGAATGGCACAGACTTGATTTATTAAAAGTTTTGCCAAAGGAAGGTCAGAAGAGTGTTTAATGAATAAAGTGACTTCAGTTGTTTTTCAGATGTTAATCATCATTCATTCTTATACTCTGTTAATAAGAACTCATCTTACCATCAGCAGATAGATGAATAAATACTTTTTTTCCTATATATTTTTATTCCCATCTTCCCCCCAGTTTTGAAAAGTGGTATTTTAATTCCACCATCAAATATATTAGCTTAATAATTGTAGGTAAAAAAGAGGAAAACTGTGGAGAGAAGTTTAGGCAGTTTCTCCTTTTTTGGTGCTGTTATATAAAGCTCTGCTTTCATTGTAGAAGAAAGTCRTAAAGTATTTCTTACCCTGTTTATTCCTGTGTTTTATTACAGTTTTCTGAGGCAGATGAAGCAGCATTGAAGGAACCCATCATTAGGAGGTTTGAGGAGGAAGGAAACCCTTATTATTCCAGTGCAAGGTATCCTRTAAATGACTCCTCCAGAACTTGGTTGTAAGCACAAAACATATTGCTAACGCCAAGATCTTGGTGTTGAGCTTTGCCTGAAGTGCAGGTGTGTATTGCAACAGGCTCCAAAACAGTGGCTGGTCTGTGATATTGCAGGAGGTCTCCATTCAGCAGGCAGGTTCCCTGAGCAGTGATACAGCAGGGAGATGTTTGCTGCTGATTCCAACTGCTGCTGATTTAAAAGTCGTCTGATGGATTTCAAATTCTATATATTCTGCTCAATTTACATATATATATTCTATATATTGTGGGTAAGTTTTGTACTGTTCTCACTCCTGCAATGCCAGCACTTTGCAAGTTTCAGTGTAACTAAGCGGAGAAAGATGAAGGGTATAGGCTTTGCACTTAAAGTTAAAAAAAAACAGAAGAGGTTTGATTTAGTTATCTGCAGTCTGGGAAGTCTGGAAACAATCTGAATAAAAAGTGTTTGAAATGGAATAAATTTTGATGTAGGTGCAGACAGAAATTGGCTGAAGAGGTGGGAGCAGAGAGACTCTGTAAATATCCTAGAATGTAAATGTCCTAGAAAAGCCAGTAAGAGGAGAAAATAGGGTCTTTTTTGTCCGACTTCATATATGTTAGGTGGCCTGTCCTTCATTAAAGAAGCATGTTCCCTCTCATCTGCACAGGCCCAGTCTGCCCGGTCCAAATCGCTCTTGGCAGAGACAGGTGGACCTGTTGGTAGACACTGCCTCTGCCCTGATTTTCTGCCTTCCTGTCATGCCCGTGCCTTGTGCCTTCATGTGCTGCTAGGTCCTAAACGAGATCCGAGCTCAAAAGCTCAAGTAGGGTAATGGAAGTAATGAAAACTGGGAAGCAGCTGCCAACGAGAAACAGCCCCAGTGGCACGAGGTCCCACCGCAGTCTTAGCCGGAGGGATTCAGCCACCTGTACCCTGGAGCCAGCCCGTGTGTGAGGCACCATCAGCAGGTCCTTATTTTCCAGCACTCTCCGTGGCTGAGGGAGAGAGCATAACCTGCCTCCTTTGCACCAAAGCAACCTTCCTTTCCGCTCCCAAGTGCCTCCCAGCTAACAGTTGGCTCCCAAGCATCAGGGCGCAGCGCTGAGAGGGAATTCTGGCCGACTGGCTTCTGCGTCCTCCCCCGGAAGGGCAGCACCAAACTTGGCCCAACAGCTTGGTATTCCAAGAGAAAAGGATGGCAGGGAGGGATGTGCCCGGCTTTCCCTATTACCTCTCAAGAATAGGCAGTTTGGAAACTTCCTCACGCTATTCTCTTGGCAAAGGGATCAGGCTGCAAATGGCCATGGAGATTGTTGTGACCCTTCCAGTTGGCTTCCTAAAGCTTTGGATCAAGCTTTGAGCAGAAATAATGAAAGGGGAGCAAGATGATTTCATGATCATAAAATAAAAGCAAATTTTCTTATTTGTTCTGTCTATGTAATTTTGCTTGCAAATTATAACTTGTTATATGTACAGGATGTCGATGCTGCTCTCCATAGCTGCATTTTCTAATCGAACTCCAATCAGTTACCTGATTAGAGCCTTTTGTACTGAGCATTCTTAATTAACGGGAGGCGTTAGGCTGCACCCTTCTTAATGAGCTCTATTAATCTGCTTACAGGTTTCCAAGAGGAGTTTAGTCAGTGTACATCATGACAAATTGCATGAGCATTTAACTTTGCGGGGCTGAGCATTTCTTTTACTCACAGCATCTCTGTTATGAATGTTTTATGAGTGYAGATGTGATTCATGTTCTAGCAGTGGTGTTTTAATAGATAGTTTAATTATTGATGTTACATCCCAGCAGAGAAAGTAGTTTTCTTTAAACAAAGAGAAGCAGGAGCCAGGGGTGACTGTATGAAAGCAGCTCCTCTGTTACGCGGTGTCGGATCTTTATGGACGTCAGTAAAAGTTCACTAACTGTGGTTACAGAAAACAAGTTTGTCACAAAAATGTGTTTCATGTTTGGAAAAGTGTTTATTAGGGTGGCAGTCACTGTAAAATTGCAGCTGGGCGAGCACCACAGTGGGACGGTGATTATTTTTTAATTCCGTTTATCCCTGCGCTCCCCAGGCTCTGCTAACAGATGTGTTAAACACTTTCACAAAATACGAGGTACTTCATTCAGTTCTGGCGTTTTTCATAAATAGCAAAGTTCATTGCAAATGTGGCAGATCGAGCAGGCCTGCAGTGGTCAGAGAGATTAAATGTGCTTTAGAATAGAAGTCGCTCTATTGGTGATGCTTCTTGCAGTCAAGTGGTTTTACTGTCCTAAAAAGACAAAGGCCTGGGGCAAGGGAGGAGACCCACTGTCCTAACTACAGATACTGCGCTTATGTTCTTGCAGACCCTGCTTAGCGTGTGTGCTGAGTTAACAAGGCTTGAGTTGTAGCCATGTGCAGTGTCCTGTGGAAATATTGCTGTATTAATAAGTGCCAGGCAGGTAATAGATACACAGTGCTAACAGTTTTGTGGACTGCTGGGAGTTTTAATAGAGGTTTTGTTTTGAGTAGGGTAGAGCTGAAGGATTTATCTGTCTTTTCCTTTAGATATAAAGGACTTTAATTTTGGGGTAATCAAAGAGGCTGTTTGCAAGTGATCATGAGTTGGAGGACTTGGGAATTTAGTATTTGCTCAGACATTCCCTCCTCATTTAACTGCCTTCAGGGCTGTACTAGGGGGAGCATCAGCTTGTATAGTTTAGAAACTGACTTCAGAAGAAATAAATACGTCGTTGGAAATAATTACATTGGAAATATATAAAAATTTGCTCTTAACTCTTWAAAGCACGAATTGCTTTTAAGCTTGAAACATTCTAATTGGACAACTGGAAGAGTATCGGACACGTAAGTAATGATGTGACTTAGTCCCAAAGTTCCAGCATTCTTAATAAAAGAGGGYAATTCCTTAACAAAAAGGATTTTTTTCCATCATTTTTCCAAAACATTCCAACAATGGAATTGTTCTCCAGTGGATTAAAAAATATTAAACAACAACCAAGTTCTCTTTTCATACTAACTTCATACTAAAACAAGTGTGAACATTCTCATTTTAAATCTGCAATTTGGCATAATCCCTTTATTCAGAGTTTATACCTTGCTCTAGAAGGCAAATTGCACCAGTAAAAGGATACACATGACACTGTTGTATTGATGTTAAGGGGAATTAACCCCAGGGCTCGATGCAGAATTTAGCTCTTTAGTCCTCCTGCTCTAGTAGATCTGGTGTCAGTTTGGTGTGCTTGAAAACCTCCCTGCTGTAAACTATATACATTAATTTCCCTCTATTATTGTTATTTTTTCCCTAGGTTGTGGGATGATGGAATTATTGATCCGGCTGACACGAGACTGGTTTTGGGCCTCAGTCTCAGCGCAGCGCTGAATGCACCTACTAAGAAGACAGAATTTGGGATTTTCAGGATGTAATGCAAGTGTCCCCATTGCCTGTGTATATTGTAACTGGGGCTAGAGAGCAAATTCTCTGCTGTGCTGAGGTGTTTTGAACTGAGGAAAAAAGTAAAGATTTATACTGCACTCTTTTGGAWGGAAGTGTCTTAATTATATGTTTTCACTGAGGAATCCTCACGCTGCACTGCAGTGTTTTAACRTTGATTTCTGGTCAGTCACTGATAGTGTCGTGTGTAACACCTGGGTCCATTTGGCTGAATAACTGGTAACTTCTGGCACTGCTAAATGTTTGACACGAGACATTTGCATTATCCCTTCAGTAAAACTGTGCAAAGTATGCTGTATATTTGCTGCTTATGAGCTCTCTTATTTCTTTTAGTTCTATTTTGTATGTTTCCTGTAGGTGCAATCCAACAAAATCCACGCTCAGTGGTCAGTGATTTCTGCCAAGCCCGAGTGCAGTAGGGGCAGCGGGGTGGCTCAGCACAGCCTGAAACTAGAGACGTCACACAGCTGTTGGTGCCTTGGCCTCCATCCAAAAAACCATTGCCCTCCTGTGTGATTCCCTGAGGACCAAACGTCAGGGAGCCTGGCGGCCGGCCGGCTCCTTCCGCAAGAGCCGGAGAGGCCTATGGACACCCATGGGAGCTGCAGGGTGCCGGGCGCTTTCAGAGCCCGCGGCGGCTGCTGCTGCCGCCACGTTTCCGTGCTTGTGAGCCCTCTGGTGACTCCGTGTGCACAGACCCTGCAGTGTCCCCGCATGGATCCRTACTCCACGCGCAGCTCGCGCCTGGCTGCTGCTCTTGGGCTGTTAACGGCAGTGCTGGGGAGCCTTGTTGAATCCCATTTATTTAGGGTAATTTTGCTGCGGTGTAATATGCTTTTAGGGAGTTAAATGTCTGGTGTTTCGTTTGTTCTCTTCACATATGTTGTACCTCATAGAGACTAAACGCTTGGTGTGTACTTTGCCCAGAATAGCGAGGTAAATATTGTGCTAGCTGGAATTAGGAAGGGAATTTTACCTACGTTGCATCTGTGGGTGTTCAAATACCAAGTATGTAATGGCTAAATATYTTTTTACCAGAATAAATATTTTTTGCAGGAATATTTCTTACTGGAGACCAAAGTGTAGCACAGTTAATGTCCTCTCCTACAYGGGCCTGGGAGAAGCAGAACGATTGCCCACAGCAATGATCTTCCACGATGACTTGCCAGCAGAGTCTTCCTGGACATGCAGCCCCTTGGTTCCAGGAGGGGGAAGGAAGGTGCCATAGCTGCCTCTCAGCTGCGTTTTGGAACAAAGGAAAGAAGTAAATGCGTTAGAAGGGAGGGTTTCAATGCAGAATAAGCAGASCCCAACACCAGTTGTGCTGTTGGGTCTCTGGTGTGCCCCTATGATGCATCAAGTGGCCCATTTTCTACCTCACAGAGAATAAATCCRTCCAAAACATGGCCCATAGCAAAAGTCTGTGCATGTTACTCTGTCATGCTGGTGTGCATGTTCTTAGGATATGAAGTACTTATTTAACAGAGATGAATAATTTAAAATTCTGTAATAAAACAGCAACAGGGCGTAGAGYTGTATTTTCATGTCATTGCTTCTTGTTCTCGTGTCTTGGCAAGATGAGATGTGGTGTTGGTCGTGGCCCCAGGAATTCTTTCTTGTGAAGACACTGCAATGTTATGTATGGTTGCTGGGCATTTGAGATGCCTTGAAAAGTGCAGATTTTCAGGTAGATGTMTAAAAAGGCCACGGAGAATTAAGAAATTGCCCTCAGTCCCATGATTGCTCTTAGTGGCTTCTAAGAAAAAGAAACTCTGTTTTTGAAGAAACTTTGTCTGAGTGCTGCAGAGCTGATAGTTCAGACAGCCGCTGCCTTCCTGCTTTGACTCTGGACCGGCATCCCAAGCAGGTTATCCCGGACCCTAACAGCCAGGGATGGCTCTGTTGGCAAGATGGGTAATGAAACCGCTCTGAGTTGGGCACGGTCACTAGATGCAGGTAATGAAGGCAGATGTGTGGTGGGGACCATCTGCGATGCTAACCGGTTACGTCTGCAAGGACAGTTGCTTACGTTTATCAAAACTTCTTCCCCTAAATATGTGTACAAAACGTGTCCCTGAATAAATCAGGCGGTTCTGCCTCAGTAATGCCTATCTTTGGAAACATGGTAAGCAAATGGCATTCATCAGCATGAGTTCATTAGCTTCCCATCAGCGTGTTGCGTTCAGGGGCAGCTGCAGAACAGGCCCTACATTCAACATGAGCGATTCAAAGAATCACCAGTGATTATCGCTTCCCCCTTGCACCTGAGAAAACCTTGGGAGAGCTGCTGCCCTTAATGGGCTGTGCCTCATGTGTGGGCACTGCTGCAGGTAACGCGCTCCGGCCGTACGGATGCGGCGGGAAGGGACGGCCCCGGCACACGGCCCGGCGGAGACCTGCTGGAAAGGCTTGGCTGCCACGGACCCGCTGGAAGCGGAGCGTCGGACACTGCGGCTGGGCCCTGTCTGGTGATTTTATGGGCATCGACGCTCGGGGTTTTGTTGCTTACATGCACTYGGTCTCTTGTAGATGTTTAATGAATATTAGTGGTAAATAAGCTACTGTTTCTGAGGAGGGGACGTGTGGCTTGTGTGACTGCTGTCCCTTAGAGTCTGCTGCTGCTGCYGGGTGAGGATGTGGGTCCTGACAGCAGAGGCAATCGGGGAGTGAMGGGTGGCTCTCCAGGCTTGCTCTTCCCATCTCGGATGCCTATGGTCCCCTCACTGTAGTACCAGCACCTCACTGTTAATATACTTATTTATTGGAAAGATGGTACTTAGGATGATACCTTTTTCAAAGCAGAAATTGAGGAATAGATGAACGGATTCCTCCATGCAGGTGAACCCAGACCTTGAACTCCAGGTTTCCAGGTGACCTTTCTTGGCTTCTTTTTGGGATCACTTTTCTGGGCTGTACATCCTCTCTGTTCCTCTGAACAGCATATCCCTTCCCCAGGGCAATACCAAGGGATAACCGAGTTCCAGCTCTCTTGATACCTCTAAAGGGCACGGCCTTTCTTCCAGGGAGGTCAACCTTTGAGTTGGCTGTGCTTTAGGGGATGGATATTGTGACCATGATAGTGATTTTCCAAATGCCCCTKTGGTGGAAGGGAGTGGAAAGCCCTCAACGTTGTGGGCTGCAGTGCTTGTCTTGTCCCTCGCTGCTGTTGCAAGCGACTGATGGTGTTTCTTACGTGACCTGGATGGAGATGGCTAATGAAGGACGGATGRATCCTGGAAAGCCCGGCCCTGCCCGCTGCCGCTCACACCTGCCTCTCTATTTTCTGCTCTCGTGGCACCCAGCGCGACGCTGGGCACCTGTGCAAGGCAGTGGGCAAGTGGAACTGTGGGCAGTTTATTGAGMAAAGTGGAATTGCAGCAAGAAAATTGAGGTCACAGAGTCTGCTCGGAAGTCGTTGCGAGGCCTGTGCGCCTGGTGCGAAGCTGCAGAGACGCAGCTGGTGCTTGGGGTGTGCAGTGACCGCCCGCAGAAACGAGCGGGGATCCGTAAATGGGATTTCTGGGGARTCCGAGGGCGCCTGCTCTCGCTGCCCTCGCGCTCTCCTCGTTTCCCTCCGTGTGGGGGTTAGCTGAGCATGCGGTTTGCAGCCTAAATGACTCTGTTGGCATTTGTGTATCTGCTGCTCCTGTGAGAGCCCATCTTTTACTCAAATAGTGCCTTTCCAGCCTCACTCCTGGAGGTGAATTGCTATTTGGCTCTGAAGCAGATGCTGTCTTTCAAATACGCCTCTGGACTCTCGGGTTACTTTGGATGTGGCAGAACCCTAATTTATCTTAGATTTTCCTTGCTGTTCCAGATTTCAGCCAAAGAAATCCAGCAATGGTGTACTCTACTAGCTTTTTATTCCCTTCTTTTTCTTTTTAATTTTTTTTTTCCCTTAAAGTAAGGTGTTTAAATTAAAGCAATTCAACAAAGCACTTCCAAAAGCCCCCTGCTTTTCAGCAAAGCCTTAAAGGATCCACTTAAAGCCAGATGTCCACTTTCATGGCTCTGATTCAGTGGAGCACTCGACTAAATGCCTCACACTAATCTCTGCAGTCTCCTAGCCATAAAATCTGCCCAACTTTGTGTCTATGTCAAGCTGAAAGTGGAATACACAAATGCATCAAAACCGCTGGAGGAATGCTATATTATTTTGACACCAGTAGCATCAGAAACCTCCCATTTTCCTGCTTTTAGAAGAACAGTCAATCAATCAGCCTGAATGGAGGGCTGTGACTGTGGAAAGCGTCCCCAGTGCTGAACTTTAAAAGGAGACATTTGACATGTGGATTTTGATGCTCTGTTTCCTGCCTGTATCTCATCCACAACAGCTTTAGTGTGCAGGAAGGAAGTTATCTTTGAGAAGCTTGAAGTGCTACAGAGCAACAAGAGCTGCTCCTATCGGAGCCGATCCCGAGTTTCACCTGAGGGCCTGAGTCGAGCTGCCCGGTGCCGCAGACTCTCCTACTTTGTTAGTCTTTTAGTTGGTCTTGCAACTGGCTACAGGCTCTGTTTTCAAAAAATGTGCTTTTTCTACTTGTATAGAGTGGAGGGTTTTTTTTTTTTTTTTTTTTTTTTTTTTTTTTTCCATTTGCTTTGCCATGATCCGCTGTTTTGTTCCTTGATATAGTGGTTTCTGACTTACTTAGCATCCCAAAACATTTTTCGCCTAGTGCTAAGACAAAGTCTCCCAGAATGGCTAAATGTTGAGCTGGATAGTGATATTTGACAGTGATAGTGATAGAAGTGATGGCGATAGCTGTAGAAACTAGTGATACATAGTGAAACACAGTGATATTTGTAGAAACAACGTGACACAAATAGCGGTAGGTAGATATGGAAAGGTACAGTTATGTGGGCAACTATACCTATGCAATGATTCTTGGAGACAGGGCTTTCTAATCGCCTCTACATTAGATAATTGTTTCAACGTGAAAACTGAGAATCCAAAATTCAACTTTTCACATGGAAGCCCAAGCTGGAAAGAAAACAGCAGTGGTTTCTAAGCCTCTCTGTGGTGCCTTCAGCACATCCTAACGCTCATACTGCAGAGGGTGGCCTGTCTTCTGGTGCCGGTTTTGCCGGGTCTGCCCTGGAAGCGGAGCAGGCTGTGTCTGCCCCCCCGTGCCCGTGTGTCCTCTGCTCTCATCCCTTCAGCAGCCCCAGCATTTCCAACCCTTCCCGCTGCTGGCTCTGTGCTCCAGCTGGGATGCGGGATCCACACAAGGGGTTTGGTGGTGGATGGAGAACCTGCCTGGGCCCAGCGAGGCCAGAGGGCGTGTGGGACCATGTGGAGCATCGCTACAGTGTGGAGCAGCTGTAGGAGAGGAGACTGTGGTGATCAACAGGAGTGTGGGAGGAGGTCACAGCGAGAGGGGAGCATGCAGCTCCCAAGGCAAGCGCCACGCTGGCGGGAGATGTCTGTGGCTTTTTGTTGCCTCAAACAAAATGATACTGTTAAAATTTCCTTGTTAAGCCACAGCTCCCCACGGTTCCTTTAAACATTTGCCTTCCCATTTGGAAAATATCTCTCTGGGTCTTCTCTTCTCTTCTCTTCTCTTCTCTTCTCTTCTCTTCTCTTCTCTTCTCTTCTCTTCTCTTCTCTTCTCTTCTCTTCTCTTCTCTTCTCTTCNCTCTTCTCTTCTCTTCTCTTCTCTTCTCTTCTCTTCTCTTCTCTTCTCTTCTCTTCTCTTCTCTTCTCTTCTCTTCTCTTCTCTTCTCTTCTCTTTCTTTTTTCTTTTTTAATATATTGTTTGTATTTGTGCATGTTTTGCCTTTCTGGGCTCATCCTAGCTGACCTATTAAAACTCACAATGAGGGTGTTGCTCCTGAGGCCTCCCCACAGGCCGAACCCACGCCTGAGCGTCGCCACACGCCTGCCACACGCCACGCTGCGGCGGCCGAGCCCGTGGGGCCAAGCGGCGAGGACGGCGCTTGCCCCTCCTGTGCGTTGGTGGCAGCCCTGCCCGGCGCGGCTGGGCCTCGCTCCGCTCCTGTGCGATGRGCTCCAGGGCGGCCTCCCCGCTGGGGTTCCCGGGGGCTGGCAGCTCCAGCTCCCCTTCCGGGGCCACCGCGCTCCCTCCCACTGCGCTGGCCATGCCGCGCTGAGCACCGCTCTGCTCCCCAGCCCGCTGCTGCTCCCTTGTSCTTATGCGTTTGCGGCCGCTCTCCCGCTGGCCTCCTGCTCTGCTCTGACCGTGGCCTGGGCTGGCCGTGGCCGCAGAGCCGCGCTCCTGCCCTGGCAGCGCTTAGGGCTGGCGAACCCGGCGTGAAGGCAGCTCAGCTCCGTGCGGGCCGGCTGAGCCTTCCCCTTCCCTGCCTCTGCCTCCCCTGCTGCAGCCCCAAGGCCAATCCCCCTGCTCCCAAGGCCAACCTCCTCCATGAGCTGACCTGCTGGCTTCGTGTGTGCTGCTGCTGCCCATCCCTGCGAGCCCAGCACTGGCCCTGTGCTCTTCCCCACGGCATGGGGGGACGTGGCCACCCCTGTCCCCTCCGCAGAGGGGAAGCCGCAASCGCTTGCGTGCGGGCAGAGCCCTGCTCCGGGTCCCGCTCTCAGGAAAGAGGCGACTTTGGGCTGCTCCAGCCCCCATGCGGCTTGAGGAAGCTGGAGCGGGGCGGCGCTCAGCCCAGCCCGGCTCTGGTGAACCGCAGCACCGGGCAGAGCGGGGCTCGCGCCGCCGCGGGCCGGTCCCGCCGGGCGCGGGGCGGTCCCGGGCGGTCCCGGGCGGTGCGGGGCGGTCCCGGGCGGTGCGGGGCGGTGCCGGGAGGCCCGGCCCGGGGCGGGGCGGCGGCGGCGGCGGGCGCTATAAGGCGGCCCGCGCGCGGCGGGCGCCCAGCACCATGGAGAGCTGCCGCCCGCTGGCGCTGTGCGCCCTGGCCGCCGCGCTGCTGCTGGGCGCCCGCGGGCACGAGCCGCCCGAGCCGCCCGAGCCGCCGCGCCGCGACCGCGACCTCGCGCCCGCCGCCGCCTCCCACGAGAAGGAGCTGGTGGGGCCGGGCGGTGGGGCGGGCGGTGGGGCGGCCGGGCGGGCGCCGCGCTCCCCCTCACGGCCCGCGGGCTCTCTCGGCAGATCGAGGCGCTGCAGGAGGTGCTGGAGAAGCTGAAGAGCAAGCGGATCCCGCACTACGAGAAGAAGTTCGGGCAGGTGCCCATGGTGAGTGCCCGCCCGGCGCCGCCGCGGCCCCGCCGCCGCTCCGCGCTCACGGGCGCGTTGCTCCCGCAGTGCGACGCCGGGGAGCAGTGCGCCGTGAGGAAGGGGGCCCGCATCGGCAAGCTCTGCGACTGCCCCCGCGCCACCTCCTGCAACTCCTTCCTCCTCAAGTGCCTGTAGGAGGCGCCGGCCCCGCTCCGCAGCGGCGGCCCGGGCCGCGCCAGCCCTCGTGCCGCCCCGCGTGACACCCGACACCGCCGCGCCGCCCCGCTCCTTCCCCCGCGCCCCGGCCCCCGGGGCCCGCCCGTCCCCGCCGCAGCCCGCGCACCGCTCCGCGCCGCGGGCCGCAGGAGAGCCCGGCTCCTTCCCGGGGCGGGAACCCCGCTCCGGGGCCGGCTGGATGCTGAGGAGGGCAGGAATGCGCGGGAAGCAGCTGGGAGCACATCCCTGTGCCAGGGCGGGCGCGGGGCTGGCCGCGTGGGCGCCGCGCGGGGAAGGGGCCCGGCAGCCGYGGCAGCCCCGCCAAGGATGTTGCGGCGGCCTCCAGCAAACCGCTCCCATTTCTATGATGAACTGGTGCACATAACCATGTATGTTCTCCGCGGGGACGCCACGCCTTTCCGGGAAGTTCTGACATGTTTTTATCCTTTGTTTGCCACTGTTAATAAAATCATTGTTCTGATGATGGTGCTCTGGAAGAAGTTTTGATTTCACGTGTAGGTGTCATCATTAAGGTGCAGAGACGGCTGCTGAGGGTGCTGGGGRTGTGTGTGGTGGGTGCCTGGTGGGGAGTGTCTGGCTCCTTTCCCTGGAAGTGCTCCTCGGGTCCCCACTGGGGCTGCTGGGAGCTTCTAACTCTTCTGTAGATTTTCAGAAAATTTTAGAGATTTTTTAGGTCCCTCCCTGAAAGAGGGATATATTTGAGATACTTGCCTGGCTTTCCTCAGGTCACATTTAATCTCTGGAGGTCTGGACTGGAATCAGCCCTTCCTTCTATGGACAGGGAGACAAGGGGCTGTAAGAGCACCTTGAGGGAAAGCGCCCACYCCAGTTTTGGCATCTGGTGCTCCAGAGAGCACAAGTTTGGGTGAGAAATCCAAAGATTTTTGAAAAACAAGGTAATAAAAAAATAGTGAGAGATTTCTGCAAGGCAGTTTTACTCCTGAGGTGTGAGAACACCTGCAAAACGCTGCCCGAAGCTGGAACTGGAAAAAATGATGCCAGAGAGGGGTGCTGCTGAGGGGACTTGGGTGCTCCGCAGGGGTGGGCAGCGATGGTCAGAGAGGCAGTGGGGCRGCTCCGTGAGACCCAAGCTGGGATGCAGCTGACCTGAGCTTGGGGAGGAATTTATGGAAGAGAGTCCTTGAAATAAATAGGTGGTGCTGCTTTTCCCCACATGTGGGTGCTGGTGCCTTCAGGCAGGGGACACGGGCTGGCTCCTCCTGGCCCTGCTGTTGGAAGCTGCCAAGTCCCTGGCTCCGGGGGACCCAACTCGCTGGCCCAGCCCCACGTACCCCAGGTACCACATCCCCCTTGTAGAGCTGAGTCCGGGGTCGGCCTTTCCCATGTGCAACATGTTAATGAAATCATATCTGAGTTTATACAAGATACATTCATTTTGTTTGTTAAGCTTTTAGGTCTCATTTTGTCCAATCGTAGTGCTTAATGTGACAAACGTAGCTTAAATAAAGATCACATTTATATATCTAAAGCCCAACTTACAGAGACTTTCTGAACTATCTGATTCACTTGCATGATGTTTTCATAGCCACAGCTGATGCTGACTGCCCTCACCCAAGAGCTCTCCTGCCACTTAGATTAAGCTTATACCACTTACATTATATTGTGGTGGCAATATAATGCAGAGGAAGGAGGCACGTGAGCCGGGAGACCTGTGTCTTAACAGTCTGGATGCTCCAGCGCTGTCCCTGCCTGGCCACAGGCTCCACTCCCTAAGCCGAGCCCAGCCCCAATGCCAACTGCAGCCCGTGGTGACCATCTCTGAGGGAACCGGTTAAACCAGATCTGGGACATTAGTATGAGAAATAYTGGGGGCCTGAGAGCCCGGTGGCGATGGGCAGCTTTTCACTTCTCCCTTTGCCCAAGGGAAGGATTGGGCTGTCTGAATTCTGGTCGCTCTTCAGATGATACAGTTTCTGCAGCAGAAAAACGGTGTTTCTTCCCCAGTCAGACACYACCTGCCTTGGCTGAGCAGCCTCATGTTTCCCGAACGTGGGCAAAACGTCTCCTTTCTGCCTGATTTACCAAGAGGTCTGTATTGACCCGTAACGTCCTCAGAGCCCTCCTTTCTTTTGAAATAGCATAGCGGGGGCAATACACCGTGTGAAACGTTACCATGCAAAGTAGCAGGACTCTGGGGTTTACTCTTGTCTTTGCTTACATGTTTCTTATAGTGTTTTTGATACCACATTTTATCCATCTGACAGCTCATCGGGAAAGAAGGAAAAAAATTCCAAATTGAAAAATATGAAACGCGCAAGGAAGACATACAGTTTGTCATCATCACAGGCCATAGGGGATATCTTCATACCTATGGGGACATCAGGGGCATATCAAGCCGAAAACAAAGGGAGGAAACTGCTTGCATGGGTCATGGTAGGTGAAGGTCCAAGTATTTAGTGTACGACACTGTGGAYTGAGCGATATCATTTTCAGTAAGAAGGATGTGCTGTTACTAACACGGTTACACAGATTGTCGTGTCAGATTGCYGGAGGATTTAAAATATTAATAATTCAGGCTGACATGAGCTCCCTTGCACCGATTATCGATGTGATACCAGCACGTCGTGCAGCAGCCAAGAGCATGGGAACATCCTTCACAAGAGAAAAAAACGGAGATTGTCTGAAGGGCTTGGCAGTAATGACTTGCTGTCATGGTAGGCAATATTATGCACRTACCTATATCCTTTCTACAATCCAATAATCTAATAAATGCCTGCTTCTAGATAGCTCAGTTTTATGCATGGAGTTTATAAAGGTCTAACTATAACATCTATGACCTGGAAAATAGACCATTTTGGTCCATTTGGTTTCACGTACTCATCTTCTTACAACTGTGATGTCAGAGGACAAGGTAGCCTTGCAAAGGGTTTATTCACATTTGCCCTAGCCAGAAGAAATAGGTGGCCCAGCTAGCTTGGGGATGACAGCAAGAGCTCTCCTAGCCGTGAATTCATAGAATTCATTTCACATATTTGAATATCTAAAGGAACTTTTGTTTGCTTGTGTTTCATGTTAATTTATGGCTTTGTTGCTGAAATTGCTAAGAAGAAAATAAGCATGTACAACAGCTGCTTGAATCATCTAAGTGGCATATGGCTTGGGTTATTTTCTGTGCTGCCAGCTGGGCCTGGCATTAGCTTGCTGAGAAGTCAAAGCAACCAGCAGCATCTCAGCCCCTGCCATGGGACCCCGGGGCTCGTACCYGCTCGTGCACCCCCTGCTCCTGCTCCTGCTCCTGCACGTAGGGCTGCCCAATGCCCTCTGCTCCCCGGGCTGCTCCACATGGAGCTGCTGCTCAGCCCCTTCGTCCCGCTCCCATCCTGGACAACCCTTCCCTGCCTCGTCATGGGATTCCCTGGGATGCCACGTCGTACTCTCTGCGGGCCAGGCCAGCCTGCTCCTCTTAGCATTTACTGCGGGAAGAGATGTGCTTCGCTAATACATGTTTCCTCTGGAGCTCCCTGGTGCTGTTTCTTCAATAAACAATTTGTTTATTGTTTCTTCTTTGCCTCCCTGCCTTTTTGATCGCGTCTGAGTGGTTTCCTCCCCTTCCCAGGACGCTGATGTTGCCTTTCAGTAGGGTGTCCTGAAGGAGTGAGTATGGCCAAGCCTCTACCAACACATTATGTGGATCTGAGTTTCCTCTTGCTTTCTTGTGTTTTATTTATTTACTTATTTCTCCCAAGTACCCAACTTTGCAGTCAACAATTCAAATTTGAACAAGAGGAATATCTTCACTCTGTGCRATGTTCTTAAACACCTTCTACTCCTACCTTCACACAGAAGTAATTTCTACTGAAAAGAAATTCAGTAGAATTTCAGAATTTCCACTGAAAAGAAAGACATGCATTTAAGTAGACAGTTCACTCACCTGGAAATGAAAGATTTCTCATTACAGTGATGAGACCATGAGTGTATGGGAAGGTGAGTGTCAGGAAGATGCATTAACAGGAAGGAAAGCCTCTATATGGAGCTTCACCAGTCGCTGCTTTGTTTTTTATGAAGTTTTGTATGAATCACAGAGTGACTTCATTCACCAAAACTGAAGTCATACATATTTAGCAGAAATTTTGGGCATGCAGGCTTTTTATTACTTTATGGGAAAAGAAGGTATATAAGAAGTTTACATCACCAGCACAGAGGAAGAAGCTGTGTAAGACAGAATGGTAGGTGCTGGTGAGTTCTGTGGAAAAACTCCCTGTRTGTTTAATGGTGCTCGTGTTTTATACACAGTGTATATACAACCTATCCATAAGCAAAGTGAAGAACCAGAGGAACTKTTTGATTGTTTTGTTCCCCATGTTCCCTTTTTTCTACTGTTACCAAGTGGCTGTGAAGTCATGTTTGTTGCAGAAACTTGTCTTTAATCTGGCGTGACTCATCTGGAGAGGAAATTCAGGTTCGCTTGACATGAAATACGGAAAGCGACTCCCCTTTGAATTTTGCTCACTGGCAAGGAATGAAAGTGCTACTGGGAAAGATTGTTTTCAGGTAGTTGTATATTATGTCCTATAAAATGATCCACTCCTGGCTATAAATAACGGTGTATAGTCACTTAGATACTGCAATAATGGGGCCACACCATCACTTACACTGAAAGCAGAATGCGTCTATTCTGCCCTCAAATGTGTCTTGTCAGCTGCTAGAAAAAAAATCAACTCTCCTCATTAACACTATTAAAACAAAAAGTGTAGACATAAGTTAGAGAACTGGATTTTTTCTTTAGCATTTTATTTATTTCGCTACCCTTTTATAACTATTTTGAAGCAATCAGTTAATGCCCATGAACAACCAAAATACCCTGGTCAAATTAACCAGTCTGGAGGATGGATTTGTGTTTCTCTTCCCTGGACTCCCTCGGTCACAACATCTCCCTGGGCTGCCAGTGGGTCCCGTTTTTAGCTCCTACACCTTTAGCTTCTAGGCTGCCCTCACTG